GGTCATGGCCACCCTGTGACCTCATGGAACCTTCATCGCCACCTCCCAGGCCCATCTCCAGATACAGCCACCTGGGCTTAGGCCTCAGCCTGTAGGTCCGGGGGCACAGTCTGGCCCATGGCACCTGCTGAGAAGGAAACAGGATGAGTTAGAATAAGGGGGTCACAGAGACCTTACTCAGATTGAGTCGTCACTGAGGAGAAGTTCGTGGAAAGAAGCTGGAACCCAAAGGACAAGCAGGTCCCAGAGAATAGCCTGGTAGACACAGGCAGCAGCCTCACGACATCTTACAGTCCAGGGAGTGGGCATGTCTGGTGGACAGGGAGTGGGTGACAGCCTGAGTGAGCCGTCGCACTGCGCCCAGGCGGAGTTTGGAGCTGAAAAGCATACATCACTTCGCAGGGATGGCTGCCGTCATGCACGCACGCATGCGTGTTGAGGAGATTTACTTTAAGATCTCTCCTCTTGAGATTTGAGACCATTTAAGAAGGTGTTGAGAGTGCTCCAGAGGAAAGAGTTCTTAGCTGATGGTGTGGCCTGAGTGGTCGGCAGGATCAGGAAGGCAAACCCACTTAACACAGGGATGAGAAGTCGCAGAGAGGACAAGCTCGGCTTGAGGGCAGGTGAAGGTGGTGGCCTCTTCCAGGCAGCCATCCATTCACAGCTATTTAAATTCAAAGAGTAATTAATTAAAAGTAAAAACTCAGTTCTCTAGTCAGCTCACCCTACGTTAAGCACCTGGGGGTCTTGAGGCCAGTGGCCAGTGTGTTAGATGCACAGATGGGGACCGTTTCCATTGCACCCGCAAGTTCTGTTGGACGCCACCTGTCTGGGTTTGAAGACACAGTCAAGCTGACGTTCAGGAGTGAATGGGGTAAACGAGCGGGTGTGGGTTACACAGAGGAGCAGGAATTTAAATCTAAACCATTGAAACCATCGTGTTATGAGAAGAATCGTGGGAGAACATTTCCCCACAGAGGTTCATACACAACCAGAGGCACAAAAGGAAAGAGTGATGATTTCCCCTTATAGAATCTGCAATTCTGCATGGCAAAAGACAAGTGCCACGAGCAAAATCAGAAGATAAATAATAAACTGGAAAGGCTATTGCAGCTCTTAGTACTGACAGAGGGCCCATTTCCTTCATATATAAAGAGCTCATAGGCCAAGAAGAAAATGACTAATTGCTGAAAAGAGAAACGCACAAAAAGGGTAGTAATAGGCATTTCACAGCAAGATACATGTGTGGCTCTTTCAGCATTAAAAAAAAGAGGATGTTCGATCTGTTGATAACAAGAGAAGTACGAGTGAAGAGCCTATAGGGATCTCGTTTCTCACATGTCCGATTTTCACAGATCTAAAACTTGTTAATGCACTATTGGGAATGGCAGGCATAGGCTCAGACATGGCTGTTTGAAGTACAGCTCGCACAGTCTTGTGAAAGGCAGCTTGACGCTGTCCTTCCAGAGTACAGGTGCACACCCCCGACCCAAACCTATAGATAAGGTTACGTGTGCAGGGATCAGCATAAACAAGGGTGTTCAGAAGTGCGTCGTTCAGAATAGCGAGGGGTTGGGAGAAGTCTAGCTTTTCATCAGTCAGATAGATAAGTAGATGTTTAATCAATGAGGTTGGTGGCATTGTATGCACTCCTCAAAAGGCCTGAGGGGCACTCTGTGTCTCCTGGGAGTGAGCACCCAGATTCTCATTAAGTGAAAAAGCAAGAGGCCATGTGGAGAGTTTGCTACTGGATTCATTAAAAAAAGAAAAAAGGAGACAAAGGAATAATGTGTGTGTCTGTTTGTACAGTAGAACGATAACATTGGCCGCCTCCGGAGGGGAGCGGGTCTGGTGGTGGGTGGACCTTTGTGCCCAAGGACCTGGCGCTGGGCACCTGCAGCCCCTGGTGGGGAAATAAGGAATCCTCTGAAAGAGGCCAAGTAAAGATGGCACATACCCACAGAGCATGAGGGATTCACCACCCACAGCCCCTGGCTGAGAGAGCGAGAAACAACCTGCTTTAGCAAAGGCAAAAAGGAACCCAGAGAGGAAGCATGGATATCGGAGTCTGCAGTGAGGTCAGAAATCCATGTAGAAAATAAATTTTGGAAGTGTAATTAACTGTTGACTCTGACAAAGAAGTAGTAATTTTTCTATGTTTAGCAAAACTTGGAAGCCACTGTGACCCTGACGAGAGAGACTTGGTGAGGGGGCAGTGTTCAAAAGAGAGTGAGAGTGCAGGAAGTAGAGGTGGGGATGGAAGGGTGCGATGGGGGGACAGAGTGGAGAGGAAACACTGGTAAAGTGAGAGGGAGAGAGGGATGGAGAAGGAGGGAGAGGGAGAAGGAGGAAGAGAGGGAAAGAGATGGAGAGAGAAGGAAGGGCGGGAGAGAGAAAGGGAGAAGGAGAGAGGGGAGAGGGAGGGAGAGAGGGGAAGGGAGGGAGAGAGGGAGAGGAGAGAGAAAGGGAGAAGGAGGGAGGGAGAGGGAGGGAGACAAAGAGGGAGGGAGAAGGAAGGAGGGAGAGAGAGGGAGGGAGGGAGAGGGAAGGGAGGATAGAGGGAAGACTTCCGGAGCAGCGCTCTGGGTGGCGGGAAGGATGGTGTAGAGTGGCCAGTGTGTGCAGCTGGAGGGAGGGCAGTGTTGGCTGAGGGTTCTGAGTAGAAGCCCGGGCTGAGGGGAGATGGGAGGAGCTATAAAAACTTGCTGGGGAGTGAGGATGGGGCAGTGGGGAGATTTTCAGGCAGCACTTGGATCCAGTGGGAACTGTGTGGGAGGGCGGATGGGAGGACAGGCGGGGTGGGACAACGGTGCGAGGCGGTCCTGCGTGCGTTCGAGGGCTGTGGGCAGCGTAGCCCGCGCTTCTCCATAGCCGTTTGGCTGCCCCACAGCCCAGGTCGTGGAGAGCTCAGTGATGGCCGCATCGGGTTGTTTCAGGCAGTGTAGCCTGGGAAAAGGCAGGCGTGCTCTGGGCCAGGACCACAGTGAAGGACCAGCGGCTGGGTCTGGCGTCTGGGTCAAAGAGAGGTTGAAGGATGAAGTCGGCCTCCAGGGCTGTTGTCCTCCCGAGAACAGTGGGACTGAGCCAGAGACCAGCTTACTCGCCAGCAGGCTCTCGAGTCCTGTCCTCTTACACCTCGCGGCCCCTGTGCTCCAGGGAAGCTTCTGACTGCCGTCAGCTGGAGATGGGGTGTCCCGGGAGCTCTGCCCCATCCGGCTGCGGGGACAGGCGCGGGGCTCTCGGCCAGGATGAGATGAGGGGTGCAGTGTCCCCTGCTGCTGGCTGCGCAGGAAAGGCCAGAGGTCTCTCTGTGCTCCCACCTGAGCAGTGAGCATAACGTCTGAATGTGAGACGACAAATGTCCACACAACAGACCATGGCTACCCAGAAGAAATTAGAAAACGCAGAACTGGAGCCGTCACCATAATTTATAGATGAGCAGACTGAGGCCCGGGGCCTTCTGAGGCCTTGCTTGTCTTCCCTGATGGCAGCGCTGGCCTGGGAAGCCAGCGTGTGGCCTCTGAGATGAGACGCACTTCCCTGACATGTTGCATTCTGAGTTCTTTTTCTTAGATGCGTCATTATTTTTCACTGTATGAGTCATCTCATGCTTCATTTCCATGATGCCTCCTGTATTCATCCTAATAATTAAGTGAACAATGACATTTCTAAGTTCTGTTTAACTTTCTTATTAAGAAAAATTTAGCTGATCAAAAGCTTCCAAAAATATTCTGTGAGAAATGGTCAGATGTTGACATTACCCCACGGGGAGTCTGCCTGGAAGCAGTCTGCACTCCGCCCTGGATTCCGGCAGCAAATCCCAAGGGGATCCATCAGCGGGTGGATCCAGGTGACCACAGAACTGGAGCTCGTGCCTCGTAGCTGCAAGAAACTGAACATATTGATGACAGAAGAGTTTGAACATGTGTCCACATTTTTACATTGACATGTCTTGAAACCACACATTCTGTTACTTGTAATGGTGATTTCATGCAATCCTTGTTATTGTCGTTGTTTTAAAAATTGAATATTCATTTTTCTGTGAAAGGCTAATTGGGATATCCACTTGTGTTTGTCACATACAAGAAAGTTACTTTGCCATCCTTTGAATGAAAATATGAAGATTAAACAGATTGATACTGGTCAGTATTGGAAGGAGCGAGGGAGGAAGCCTCATAGGTCGACTTCCAGACAGCGTGTGAAGGGCCATCAGCTGGTGTCCAGGGATTAGTGAGGGAGCTGGACAGTTGACTGTGCAGTCAGTCACGTACAAGGATGATCACGGCAGGTGTTCGTGATGGTGAAAATGTAGACTCAACGGCCATCGCAAAAGTTAGGACAGTGGTTAAATTACAATTTGCCCATAACATGGAATATTATGTAGCCATTAAAAGAGTAGGTAGATCTAAATATATCTTAATATGTTATCACATTATATTCACTTTTGAATGATATGATACATGTAATATACAAATGTATAATATACAAATGTGTAATACACAAATGTATAATATGTGTAGCATGATGTCATCATGTGTGTGTGTGGGTGCACATGCGTGTCTGTACACACACTGTGTATGCAGGTGGTTAGCACATATGGAGAGCATGTTCCAGAAGATTATGTACCAGAATGTTGAGAGATTCATGTTGTGATAATGAGGGGTATGCTATGTGGAGTATTTTTATTTTCTGCTTCCTACTCATGAATTAGTTATGTTTTTAAATTTATTATGAAAACCCGGAAGTTTACATAATGAGTAACTTAATGTGAATTTAAATAATCATAGATGGTTCCTTTTTCCTAGCTGGATGTGTAGCTGACTTGCTCTTCTGGCAAGACGCTTGGCTTATCAAAGTCGGTATTTATAGCGGTGGCTAGGTTTTATTCAGCTGTTGGAGTTATGTCTTCAGTGAATTTGATTGGAGAAAGGATGCTTGGGAAGTAGTGTCTGTCTCAGTGTGTGACGTTTACCAGGCCTGCTGCTCCCCTGTCCTTGCAGATGGCGACGCCAAGACCCAGCCTGGAAGACGGCTCTACACCGTGAGTTTGCCTCCGGAGGGCTATGTTCCCGCTCCGCCAGAGCCGCACAGCTGCACAGAGTCCGAGAACTCCACCAGCAGTGACGGCACGGGAGGTAAAAGTTCTCTAGGCGGGTGGGGTGAGGTGACACCTTTCACGTGAAGCGTGTGTTTCTAGTTTTCCAGTCCTGTAAATACGCTTTATCTGATTCCCAGTGAGAGGGGCGAGTGTGTTGTACGACCACACAGGGCTGCTATGTGTCGTGCGGTCATTGAAAATAGCTGTAAAGAACTTGTGCTGACAGGAGCTGGTACTTAGGATGGGAGCTTGGAAGCGGAATGTGGTCAGAGACTGGAAGCCGAATGTGGTCAGAGCCATATTTGTTAATGCATTGGGAGAAGTCTGGTACTAAATGCATCAAAATGTTCACAGTACTCGTCGTGGTTTAGTAGAACTTTTTTTTTTGATTTTCTAATTTTTTTAAGATTTCTAAGATTGTATATCAATTTTGTAACCATGGAAGTTACTTATTTTGCATCTCTTGTGGAAAAATTGCATTATTACATCTGCTTTTGTTGTTGAATGTCGTATGAATGAAGGAAAATAATGTGGTTCAGTGCTGCGGTAGAGGGGCTGGTGGTGGTGCTCTTTGAATTTCTACCTTGTAAAGTAAAAGGGGAATTTTTTCCCCCTTTAACTCATCATTTCAAAACTTCCTTAAGAGGGATTTGGAATTTTCAAATAAAAATTTTTCCCAGATGATTTTTAACAAATATAAACTAAGAAACTCTATTTTATAAGCCTTAATTTGAATATTAAGAAAATGTGGTTTTCTAGTATATTCATCTTTCTGATTTCCTAATTAAAGGATCAGAAACATAAAACCACGAATGGGACAGCTCAGGAATAATACATTCGTCTTCAAGCCCTGCTGAAAGTCTTTGGAATACACTTAGTAGATAAATAGGTTATGTAAACAGAAATTTTACCTGTGCTTAGGAGGAAGAATTCCTTTGGCGAACATACTTCCTCACGTGTTAGTATATTTAGTAAACAGTGTGTCGGCCTCGTTCGCCTGCTGTCATATACAGTTAGCTGTCCTGCACGTGCAGCTGTACACAGTTGACTTGGCTGATGATGCAGTGATGGCAGATCTGTGCAGGGTGTCCCAGCTGAGAAACTTCTGTCCGTCCTGTGACCAGATACCACTTCCCAGACTGGTTCCACGGGGACCGAGCTGGAGTGATGTCCCCACAGGAGATGGAAGGTGTGTGTACAAGCAGACACAGGTCTCCTGTAAAACGCTGTTCCCTGAGCTCTGCGTGTGGGTCCCAGCGGTGTCTCCCTACGGCTGCTGCTGGCCCTGGAAGCGCACCTCTCTCGCCTCCAAGAAGCCACTGGGGAGCGCTCGTCTGGGTCACCCACACAGGCTCTGCTGTCAGCCCGTCCTCACGCGTCAGCATCCGTTGTCCCTTGTCCTGGCACCTGGCCTGGGCCTGGTCAGACCATACTCAGGGGTGATGAGCTGTGTCACCAGGTCTGTTCCAGGGCCAGATGTGTCTGCCATGAAGACGAACGTGCTCAGAAAGCAAGCCAAAGGGACCTGAGTGGCGGTTGTGTGCTCACTCTCTGTGCTGCCTTTGTCCCGCTCTGTGGGTGATCTCTGGATGTACAGATTTTGAATTCTTTTAAAATGTGTTAGGAAGAGGTAGAAGGGAGTTGTAGGACAAGGAAGTAGTAGTGTTAGACATAATTCCAAACTTTATTCTAGGACTCCCCGCCAACCTATGTTTGATTCATTTAAATGCCTTGGTGTAGCTTTGGATAAAACGAAATGCAGTCGTCCTCCATCTCCACAGGGGATTGGTTCCAGGACCCCTGCGGATACCGGAATCCTCAGATGCTCTAGTCCTGTAGACAAAATGGTCCAGGATCTGCATATAACCTGTGCACAGCCTCCTGTCTACTTTAAATCATCTCTAGATTACTTATCATACCGAATACAATGCAAATGCATGTAAATAGCTGTAACACTGTATTGTTTAGGGAATGATGACAAGAAAAAAGTCTGTACACATTCAGTGCCAACTGTGTGTGCTCCTCCCGCCTTAGGCATCAGGCATTTCTCTTCTCGTTAACGTGGCGCTACATGTTGTTCTCAAGAAGTTGTGGACTTCTGGCCTGTTGCTGGTAGAACAGCCTGCTGTCTGTCCTGCCAACAGGAAGCTGCTCTTGTGGCCACTGTTGAGGGGGAGGCTCACCAGCTGTACTTGGCATGGCAACACATTTCTCCGGTGGGAGCACCGTCTTGCTCACTGTCTTGGTGCATCTATGGGAATGCTGTCTGATGTGGGGTTACGTAATCTGTTACAGTAGCATCAGAACTCCTCTGGGGTGGCTGGGATAGTGAGTGATGTTTGTCCTCAGAGTGTGCTGAACCACAATCAGCTCCTGGATGAATTGCGTCACCAGATTCTGGGATTCAGGTGACACGAGTGGAAATCCTTAACAGACACGGAACTCTTAGTTGGAAAACATGTACCCTTCCTACAGACACCGAGACCTTGTCCCCGAGAGGCTGGTGAGGAACAAGTCGGGCCATTTACTTGTAGAAGAAAATATCCACAGTGTCCCCAACATACCTTTTCCCTGGGTTTTTATATGGCACGCACTGCCCAGCAGCTTGTTTATGCTGGTGTGCTGTTGAGCTCCCATCAGTCCCTCTCTGCTGGTGGTGAGGGATGTGTGGAGGGAAACCCCCTAGAGAGTCTGGTTGGAGGAAAGCACCAGTCATTCAGTCCACTGGGATTTGTAAACGCTTACTTTATGCCATGTCAGATGATAAGAAAGCTGTATACCTAGATTACGTTATTACATCTCTCTATGAAAATATTGTCTTAGAATTTCATTTTGTGTATTCATTTTTAATGTAGGTTAATTAAAGGCATGGAGAATGTTTTTTCTTTCTAGCTTGTTTTTGTAAAACTATCATTTTTTTTTTAAGATTTTATTTTTTTTACTTTTTCTCCCCAAAGCCCCCCAGTACATAGTTGTATATTCTTCGTTGTGGGTCCTTCTAGCTGTGGCATGTGGGACGCCGCCCCAGCGTGGCTTGATGAGCAGTGCCATGTCCGTGTCCATGATTCAAACCAACGAAACACTGGGCCGCCTACAGCAGAGCGCACAAATCCAACCACTCGGCCACGGGGCCGGCCCCTGTAAAACTATCATTTTTAAAGCCTTGTTCTTCATTCACTGCACGCTCACTAACGTTTATTTAAAAATCCAGGTGAAGGGGGCTGGCCCCGTGGCCGAGTGGTTAGGTTCGCGCGCTCTGCTGCAGGCGGCCCAGTGTTTCGTTGGTTCGAATCCTGGGCGCGGACATGGCACTGCTCATCAAACCACACTGAGGTGGCGTCCCACATGCCACAACTAGAAGGACACACAACAAAGAATATACAACTATGTACTGGGGGGCTTTGGGGAGAAAAAGGAAAAAATAAAATCTTAAAAAAAAAAAAAAAATCCAGGTGAAACATTCCTTTTAGGGTTCACTGCTGGAAGGATGTTGGTGCTCATGAACTGATATGCTGCTGCTTCCTGAATAAAAGATGTATTACTCATTTATATGCTTTTTGCTTTGGCTGCCAGGAAGCTCAAGTCTCAGCTTTTCATTGTTTCTATCCAATTGCAGTTTTTCCCTTGACCTCCATTTTCTGATGGTTACCTTTCCCCACCCCTCAGTTTCCTAACTCTTTCTTTTTAGATTAAGTCCTTAAAACACTGATGTTTCTAAGTGATGCCATACCCTTTTTGGAAGTGAGCAGAGTAGACAGGGTAGCACCACTAGTTCACTGGCATAAGTGCCTGTGGGCAGGCCCTTGCCTCATGGGAGCTTCTTGCAGCTGGGGAGGGTCAAGTGTAGGCAGTCATAGGAGGTTTGGCATGTTGTCTACAAACAGGCAGGAGTGCCCTAGGAGCACCAGGGGGGGTGTGGAGGGAGGTGATGGCGTGTGATCTGCTCTGAGTGAGTCGTCCGCCTGTGAGGAGGGCAGCAGCACTGCTCAGTAACACTGCCAGATGCAGAAGCGCTAGGACACCGCTGGTTGTGTCTGGGGTGATGAGCTCGCTGTGCTTAGCATTGTGGGGCTGAGCAGACTGCTAGGGACAGGCGAGAGGTGGTGAGTGGTTCGGACCAGCGTGGAAGGACTTTAGAGAACCCCTTCCGACCCAGCCCACTGTGAGTCCAAGGGGCGGACACCTTTCAGGGTATGGCCTTGGTCACTCTGGGAACCATGAAGGAGAGAGGGAACCATGCAGAGGGACCACCCAGCCTGACCCACAGGTGGTGAGAGGGAAGGAAGCACGTGGCGAGGATGTTTCCATGTGTGGCTGTTAGAGTTGGTGGCGTCGTGAGTGTGAGGCGAGGGGAGCCTCCACCCATCGGTGATTCTCACTCTTCAGTGGGTGAGATGCTGCACCAGCAGCCGAGCTGGGACGGAGAGGCGACCACAGTTCCTGTGGGCCTCTCCCCTTTGCGTGGTCTTGGTTGTGACCGTGAGGTTCCTCCCTGTGTGGAGGTGAGTGTGCCTTCTACATGGCTGGTCCCTCAGAGCTCGGCTGGGGAGGGTGTTGACCACCGTCCTCTGCATTTTTTTTCCACGGGCTCCCTGATCTGGAACCTGAGCCAGAAGAAATAGCGTTTCTAACCATTGGCGTAAAGGCTGTTGAAAGTCTTCTGTGAACTATCTGGAGCCAAACAAATCTAACATATTGTTCCGAGAATAGTCCGATGCGCTCCAGTGGTGAAGAAATTCACATTTCCTATGGGAGCGTCTCTTCTGGATTTAGTTATGGCAGCTTGTCTCCTGGAATCTCACAAGATCTGAACTGCCTCCTCCAGCGTCTACGTAGGCTTAAAAGGCTGCTGCTTCCCCTCAGATTTCACAGACCTCGGTCACACCACAGGCATTACATCACTCTGCCAACAGCTGGGTGTGTCAGAAGAATTTAGGTGCTCAGCTCCTGTGCAGAACTGGCCGTTACATGGAATAGTCCACCCGTATGAGCTCCTGCTGACCGCAGGTACACCGTGTGCCACATGGCAGGTGAGCA